TACTGTTTTTTACTAAGTTAGTTATGTCGAGGAAAATTGCAACAGCAATTTGGTATAATTAATCCTTCGGATTGTGGCGAGTAAAGATTGAGAGTTTTATGAACTGAAGCGAGACGTTTAATTTTTTTGTATCATTATACACAGCTTGGGATTCACCAGTAAAATTTGTGCTGCTTTAACGGATACGTTGTCGCAGTACATAATTCATGGTTTTATAGGCACGTCTGTATATGTAGACTTATGCACACACATGACTTTGTAATCCCTTGCCCTTTCATGAAAAGCTGACCCACTTCATACGGTGTCTTCAAAGAAAATGTTTAACATGACTTATTAACGATGTTTCTCTAATACTGAAGATTTTTAACTAAGAAATTTTGATCGAAAGTAATCTCTATTATTTCTGTTATATGTTATATTTTACTAATGTAATATTCAATTACAGCACGAAACTCCTTGATATTAAAAAACCTTAGTATATAAAGAATATATTTTTTTTTTAATTTTCTCGAAGAATATTCATTTTACAATATTAAGTTTGTAAGAAAAAAAAATTGTGGTATATAAATCGGAGAAGTAATGGAAACATGCCAAATGACTTGTAACGATATTTTGGAAATGATTCTCGGTATAGGTTCATCACGTTTCCGCAAACTACTGGAGGCTGAAAGTCATCGATAGTTATTATGCGGATTACTTTACCTTAACTACAAATCAGTGATCATTTCCCTTGCTAATACATATGTGAGTAACTCTGTGTAACAGATAGAAACTTCGAATAGCTGTGTCGGCTTTGGAAATTCAGTCACTCCATCTTACGTCGAATTGTCCAATTACTGATGAATGTAAATTCTGAAGCTAGATTTCCACGTCAACTACAATCTTTATCTATATAATAAACTCTTTTACATTCGAATTACGTTGCATGCTCGAGAATATTGAACATAATAGTACGATTTGTTGCCATTTTAATATTGTTTATTGTCCGTGCCATTTTGATACAAAATTTCACAGTAAAATATTTGTATCGATTCTCATAAAAAAACAAACGAGCGTAAATTATTTCAAATAGGAAGGAATGGAATTATTTGAAAGAATCAAAAATAATTTTATAAGTTTCATAAAAAATATGATTTTAATAAGAGAAGATAAATAATGGTTTACAGTTTTCACATGCAAAGAATATAAGAGCCAATGAGAATCGGCGACAGTAGGTCATGGACCAATCAGATCGCGTGGTATAACGGGTATTCGCGTCTCTGGAGCGTCACCGGGAGCTGACCTTGGCGGCGCTTGGCTGCATTCACGGAAGGCGCCCGAAAACGCTTCGGAAAAAGGCATCGGGGGCAGCGCGCGTTCGTGTCGCCCATTGTTATCCTCGTCGCGTGTAATGGCTACCGTAGAGTTTGTTGACGGTGCTCGGTCTGTTTGTTCGTGCATCGGCCTATCCTGAGCCACGGTACGCGGCGACGTGGCCCAACCTGACGGAAATAAAATCAAGAAGAGCTCTACGCCGAAGTACCGCCAATTTTATGCAACCGAGAAACCCGCGCTTCGTATACCAGTCGCCGCAACCGCCACCGCGCTTGGACGACATGATCTGCGCGGGTCAACGCTGCTCGTTGACAAGCGTGTAACTCAAAACTGATTTCGCGGCATCTACACGGAGCAAGATTGCAGCGGCGTTGTGATTAGTGTTAATTTTAGCGGGATCTAACGTAACAAGGAGGTGTATCAAAGCTCTAAATCGATCGCCATTGATTTTCCGCCGCGACCACGGCCCAACCGACACGAGGAACTTGTTCTCGGATGTTGTATAAGACAAAATAACTAAACCAGTTATTAAAGTATCACCATCATCAGGAATAGTGTGACCAGCTGCGCGGCATTCCGCGCCGCAGTCATGGCAACTAGAAGATCATCCGTTTGGCACCCAGACATGTAACCCGCGGCGCCCGTGTAGACTATCACATGTGAGTATCGTATGTCGCGGTTATGCTTTGAGTCTTGATTTCTTCTCGTTTTCTGCTGAACTTTCCTATGATATATCCGAAAGTTATGCCTTTCTACTTTACTACAATTTTGATAAAGGAAAATGATGAATGCTCCATACCTATCTAGACATATCGGAGTCTCTCTTGTTTCTGTTTAATGAATGCCTACTGATTGTGCAGGGTCAAAGGCAACATATCAATGGCCCTAGAATCAAATGGCAACAACGTGGTGTGGTTGAACACAACCCGTCCTGATCAAATACAACAGGTATGCAGCTTGTATACCAACACGACGTAAAAAAGGAACGAGTTTTCTCCATTGGTATTTATTAGCTTTTCATTGATGCTTAATACGTATTAACGTATACCAGTATGTGTAGCACGTTGACTGAAACAGAGCATTGTAGAATGTCATTGTTTTTGGAAGCAACAATACAAGACCTGTAATATCTAACAACAATTATCATTTGACAGAGCCAACCGATCGAGCAGCCTGTGAAGTGTTCCATGTTTACTCAAACTGAGCAAACCAATAGTTTTACTCAGACAGAGCAGAGCAATTCGAGCTACGGTGATCAGAGACAGGTTATTAATTGTGAAATTACTGACAGAGATAGGTTATTACATTAGATAAAGGAAAAAATTTTTAAGACAAATAACTAAGCATTTGTAATGTTTTATGTTAAATAAGTCTGTGTTTTTATATTGCTTTTCTGTTTTCAATTTTACTTTTTTTACATTGTTTCATTGTATACTCTTGTAATTAGTAATAATGTATTTTCCTATCTTTGTATTAAATACAGTAAATGTAATTGTTGAAGGAATTATCATTTAATATTTATTTACAGCAACAAGCAGCCATGTTTGACCCACAACAAATACAGCAGCAGCAAGCTGCTCAAGGTCAACAATCGCAGCAGCAGCAGTCTCAACAGATGTATGTTACAACTGATAAGAAAGAAGACAAATCCCAGCAGCAATCAGCAACTGCGGACTTCCCTTTCTATTACAATGTCAACATGCTCCAAAAGGTTCAAACAAACGCGGTGAGCACAATCGGTGCGATCACAACCGACGACAAGGGTTGTTATCGTTTTGATGTGCAACCTGTCGGTTATAACACATTATTGAATCAGATGAGTATTGCGGCTGCTACCAACGCGACCTTCAAATGTGACATTTGTGGTTTGGTCTTTGGGCACATGAGTTTGCTGAATCATCACAAACGGATTCATAATACAACACCTAGTAATCTTCAGCAACAACCACAGCAAGTTGTTGTGCAAACACCTACAACAGTTACTGTTGCAACTACTCCAGAGAGACCATATACCTGTGATGTGTGTGGAGCTTGCTTTGCACTGCCAGGAGAATTAAAGAGCCATAAGACAAATATGCACCAGAAACCAAAGGTGCAAATTTGTGAAGATTGTGGTAGTGAGGACCCCTGTGAACATCATCCTACTAAAATTAAAAAGAGTATGTTTTTTTACTTCTTTTTTTTTTACAAAGTTTTTTTTATAAACGTCCTTCAATTCTCATTAATTATGGGAACTTCAAATAACTGCTTCAATTTACAGCAATTTTTACACATTTCATGTAATAATTATTTAAAAAATATTTGTATTTTTTACAGCTATCAAACCTGGTCATCATCCTGTGAAACGAAGGGGTGTTACCAGTGTTACTAAGTGTCATAAGTGTAATGGCACAGGAATCATTTTTATTGGTAAGTAGAAATTATTACTTTCATGCTTCTTGCAGATTGAAGAAAAATGTTTGCTATGAAACATAACAAATGCTATTTTAAAGTAATGTGTTATTATGAAACATAGAAATTAGAAAAAATTAGAAAAAAGAAACATTTTTCTTCCTGAACCATAATCATCTTTCCTTTACTTCTATCATTTCATTACTGTCATGATCGTACATCGGGTGGTGTATGGTAGGTAAACACGACGAAAAACTAGATTCTGGAATCAGTTCCCTCGCAAAGTGTGGCGGCTGCAAGGCAACAGGCCGCATCATCATAGGAAGTAAGTCGGAAAAATTACAGCCAAAAAAATAAGGGATTTGTATACCATAGTATATTTTACAATCATCCAGTGACAGATATTACTTCAATTTTTATGTGAAGTATTAAAATTTCTAAGCTTTCATATCTTATTATTATATCTTACCTGAGAAAATATTAAATACCGTTATGGTATCAACGTTTTATAAGAATAACGTTTAGGATCATACATCGTTATTTATTTTACCTATTTCATAAATTTGCGACAGGAAAATAAATGTTCAATATTGTATAAATTTAGTATTATAAGCTTCTTTCATTATTTATAGTATTTTTATTTGCATGCATTTGTTGTAGATAGAAAAAAATCTTCAGCACTTGCTGGTTTCTTATAATGTTGATAATTTTGAATTTGTTGCATCGATTCTGTTTCCTTTTTCGTAGCATTGTCAATATTTACATTTAAGAATCATTGCACGGAATGAAATCTCCCCTAAGGGACAGTTTTATAAATTTGATTCACTAATCTTTAGCAACATCAATACTGAAAAATTATTTTAGATTTCAGTTTATATACTTCATTCTTTCTTTATTTCGAAACAGGCCATAAGAAGCTCATTTTAATACTTTTAACATAGTTAATCATTCATATAATGATTCAAAATCATCAGATTCAAAACATCTGATACCATACTTCATTTCTTTCTTTCTGCACTAACTTCCGTAACCCGCATGTTCAGATTTCTACATGATATTGTTACATCTAGTCAGAAGCATTAGTTTTGCATCATAAAATGATTTATTCGTGAACTAAATAGAATTTCTCTTTTGGATGTATCAGGAAAGAGAATATTTTCCAAAGAACCATACACAATCCAGTGTCTCGAATTCTTCAATGCATTAAATCGATCATCTCAGAGCGTATCTTTTTGTAGAACTGGCCCTTTGAGGAAAACTAAGAATTGGGGTATTTCTTTAATTACAGGCGGTAAACAAAACAGTCAAAACCAGGCAGAGAAACCGTTTCATTGTAACGTATGTGATGGAACATTCTCCAGATATTCGTCACTTTGGTCCCATAAGAGACTTCATTCTGGAGACAAACCTTTCAAGTGTGAAGTTTGTGGCTTAGCTTTTGCAAAAGGTGAATAAAACGAATTAGTGCGAATTATAAGGTAACTTGTAAGGTGGAAAAGCCGCAGTATAACACTCACGATGTTTGTTTTTACTTTTTATAGCCGCTTATCTAAAAAATCATGGACGAGTGCATACTGGTGAAAAACCATTTAAATGTAGTGTTTGTGGTATGCAATTCTCGCAAAGTCCTCATTTAAAGAATCATGAGAGAATTCATTCTGGTGAACGTCCTTATCAGTGTGAAGTGTGTGAAAAAACATTCGCCAGACATTCAACCCTTTGGAATCACAGAAGAATTCATACCGGTGAAAAACCTTATAGATGTAATATATGTGGTTCGGCCTTTAATCAAGCTACACATCTGAAAAATCATGCGAAAGTTCATACTGGTGAAAAACCACACAGGTAGCGTAATATTTTGGCTGTGTTTCTTTTACCCTTTCGGTTCTTCTTCTTATTCCTTTTTTTTCTCAATCAACTTTTTAACGTGTATCGTTTGTCCTATAGATGTGATATATGCGAGATCGGATTTTCCGATCGCTTTGCATTAAAGCGTCATCGTGCAATTCACGAAAAGTACGGTCAAACTGCCCGAAATCAGAATGCAAATAATCCAAGTAACGCACAGCAAGCGAACGCGAGTAATCAGCAACAGCAGCAACAGCAGCAGCAGCAGCCCCAACAAACGCAGCAAGGTCAACAGGTTGTCGTGGTGAATGCCACGACTCCTGTTACCGTGAGCCAAGGTCAAGGGCAAGCGGTAATGCTTGAAGAAGTCTACAAGTGTCAGGTGACCTTCCCAGAGCCTAAATGATTCAGCTAGAGAATACCTTTCAGGAGCTGGTAAAGGGGTTAATTTTTTAACCTTTTTAAACAAACAAACAAAATAATACTAATTAACATTGAGAATGCGACACATGTGCGTGCGAGCGTATAATAAAAAAAAGAACGAGATGTAAAGAGAAACGTGAACAACATTCAGCAAGAGGCAAGTTTCCAGAGTGACTGACAGCACGTTTGCCGTGCAGATTCTGTGAGAGCATTATTTGGTGACAGTTGGGTATATCTTAAATAAAACGCATGAAAAAAGGGTATGAAAAAAAGCAAAAAAAAAAAAATAATAAGAAAGACTCAGCGATATTTTGCGCGAGTGAATAATTTTCATAGGACGTGACTGGGAAGAGTACGGCTCGTAAAAAATCGGAACACTCTCCCGACCACCGTAATAGCGAAGAAAATTTTTATTATTTTCATTACTTTACGAAAAATACAACCCAATATTAGGGAGGAAAGGAAATGAAGTAATGATAAATTTACTTTATATTTTCTCACTCGAGACAGGCGCGTATTACATGCTAATCAATTGACATCGGATTGAATAACAACCTCATTCGTTCTAATGATATTGTAGTTACTTCCTTCCAATGATTTACAAAAGTCAACTTTTTTTTGTTTCCTTATATCCACGTGGGTTGATATCCCATCTGATCTGAGCGAAGTATAATAAAAATTGACGTGAACGTAATTACATCGAGGTTTCATGACTCATTGAACAATAAAAATACATGTGATAGCTTCGAGTGAATCTTAGCTAGGCAGGAAGCGCCAGTAATCTGATCGCTCTAATACTAACAGATTATGCATACTATACATATTTATCAGCGGCGTAGGCAAGCGTTTCCGAACGAATCTAAAAATACAAATTACAGTACACATTCGAAGGAAGGGAAAAAAGATGATTTATTACAGAACGCCTAAACCTCGGCCCTTGATTTATTATAGTTTAAGCGATAGAGAACGATGATGAATTAGTATTGATTTCTACATATTATCCCGATCATCTTGTTTCTTTTTTTACCGATCGAAGTTTATCAGTCGAATAATGCAAACAAACGAGAGAAAAATAAAAGACAGAAAAATTGACGTTGAAAAAAAGAAAATAGGAGAACAACTATTGTCATCTTTTACACGTATCCATTGTGTTTGAAACGGAAGTCGTGGTACGGAACGATATCGTGATTTGAGCGAGCCCTCTTCCGTCCAGTCATTCGGGATCACAATAATTAAAAAAAAAAAAAAGAAAAGAAAATTAAATTATTGCGTTATTGCAATGACAACGACCACGATTAAATAAAGAAAAAAAAAAAAGAAGGAAAGAAAGAAAGAAATGATGATGGCAGGAGTAACGCCACGCGAGGAAGATTTCTATCTCACACGGAGCTGCAATAAATAATAGTGAATATCGACGGGCAGACTAATCTGTTTTATAATTTTAAGGCCGTGAACTATAATGGATATCAGTTACTAAAATAGTTGCTAGTTTGTAACGGCAAAATAGCTGGCTAGATTATCTATACGATATATACATAATTAATTTTTATATCCCCACTTGTTAAGAGCGATGGCACACGCACTGTCGCTGTGAACTCTTAAAAATAGCGGTGAATCAGAAATCGATTCGGTTGTAACTTTAAAAACAAAAAAGAAAAAAAACGAAAGAAAGAATAAGTATCGACGGTCCCACAGAATCCGACTGGTCGGTAAATTGTGGTACCGTTGATCGTCAGGATGCACTTACGCCATTTTTAAGCAAAGAAACACTGTTCCTCGGACATCTTCGTCGACTGTATCTTTTTGTTTGTTTTTTTTCCTTTTTCGCGATTAAACCTTTTCTTTTTTCAAAAATATCTCTTAGTCACCTGTCTGGATAGAATCTTTCCCCCCTGTTTTTCGTCTTTAAGAGGCATCGTTAAGAATCGACTAGCACTTTCTTTTTGTTTTTCTCTTTGAAAAATTCGCTAAAATAGGTGTTTCTTTGATAGTCATATTGGCTCACCGTTCGAGATGCTTTTGTACGAGAGAAAAAGAAAACTGAAGTAAATAAATAAAACGAACCGCGGGAGAGAGAGGGAGAGACACACACGGGGGACAGACGACAATACGGCTCAGTGATGTCTCAAACAAAAAAGGAATCGTTCTTTTATACAGTGTATAACTGATTATTGAAGTATTAAAAAAAAAGAAACGACGAAAGAAAAGAAAAAACGCTATCGAAACGAACCAACGTTGATCACCAAGTGATCGCGCAACCTCTGCAATATGAAATCATTGAGATCAGTTCGGAAGATGATTTTGCAAAAAACGAATAATAATAAAAAAAGGAGGTGTCTGGGATTGGGGATTACTTTGTTTTTATCGCTATAACTTGTAAAATAAAGATAATGCTATTACGTTTAATTTACTTTTAATGTGGTCATAATACCTGCTACAGTATTTTTCGATTAGATTAGAAAAACTTTCTTTCTCTTCAGTGTTTCTTTCCTGAATTTTTCATTCGCCCGACATTCTTTCACTTCTTTCCCCTTTTTCGCCACACCAACCCCCTTTCTTTCTTCTCTCTTTTTTTTTTTTCACACTCATCGTCCCCTCATTTAGAACGCTTTCCAAAACAAAGAACACGCCTATCGTTTCCCGTTTTCTGTTTACTCCAAGACTGAGTGGCGTAGCTTAGTTTCTCGTAGCGCTATGTTTCTCGTCTCAGCTTGCCAGTGCAATCGTTTCCAACCCTTTAAATTATCGTTCACCGAAACAACCATGTAACCTGTGTAGTAGCCTCGTTAAAAAATGGTAACCGTTAGGTACTCTTAGATAGTCCGGGGTACCCTTTTGGGTTTCTTTTTAATTCGCTTTTATTTGGAACTCAGCTCACTTTAGTTGTCGTACCCATATTTTCTTTCTCGAGGTAGCGA